GTTAAAGGCTGTTTCTGACTACTTAGGTGAGGCAGAGACTCAAAGCCTCCAGAGATCACCTTTGCCTGCATTGTGATTGGTATTATCCTGATTGGCCTCAGGCTGTGACCACAGGGCCTTCCCCCCCCCCTTCCCCCCGCAATTGTCCTCAGGTATAGTGAGTTTTTTTCAACAGGGTGGGGCAGTAGCTTCCGCCTGAAGGCTAATTGTTATTTTTATCTCTTAAGTGGCTCAGGGCAAGGTGTTTTCCAATAGGGTGTGTCACCTGTCTTCCCCCAAGGCAAGGCAAATGTCTATGTGGGAAAGATGTCCTCTGCTGGGTGAGTGAATGACTCAGCCGAGGAAACATGGGGTATCTGCCTTCTTAGCTCTATCCCTTGAGTCCCCAGTCCTGGCTTCTGCTCTCACAGCTCCAATCCACTTGACCCTCTCTCTGCTGGAGCACCAGGTGGGTGGCTCCACAGGGAATTTTGTATGTTGGCCCTTTAAGAGGGTGCCTGAATTTTCAGTTGTCACTCCCTGGCAGACAGCACCCTGCTGCTTTTCACAGCCAGATATTAGGTGGGTACCCTTCTCAGTTCTGGTGTTCTCTGCTGGAGGGCCCAGCTTGTGGATTAGATCCCAGAATTCTCTGTGGCAACCCCCCACAGCTGAGATATCTCTCTGGGACTTCAGTTGCTGTCTGTGGGCACCCAGCCAGCCCTTTTGTGCCTCCACCCCTCCTACCAGTCTCTATGGGGTCTCCACTTTTGGTCCTCAGATATCAAGGTTCTCTCCTACAAGTTTTCCATTGATTATTCAGGAAGTTTTTCTGTGTTTTAGTTGTAATTCCAGTTTGTTCCTGGGAGCGTGTCCATGCAGCATCCACTTACTCTGCCACCGCAGCAGACAGGGCTAAGGAATGACTGGGATGTTAACTGCAGAGGGAGTCAGGTCACTGGCAAGCATGAGCCCCACCATGATCCTAGCACAGAGAGAAGATACCATGTAAGTTGGAGGGGGAGAGCAAGCAGTGCAAACAAGAACTGAAATGGATCTTTCTTCTGCGGATCAGATGGGGAGAGTCCTTACACTGTGCTTCCAGGGCACACACATTCCCCTACTCCACCAGTAGTGCTGGTCATGTGTGAACCTGACTGTCATCCCCAGACCTTCACCAATGCCCACTGCAAGATGAGAACATCCAGCTCCTAAATGGATTTCTAAAACCTCCTGTTCTGACCCACCACAGTCTCTAATCTCACTCCAAGATATACTACACTACTTCCGGTGCCCCCACCAGCCACACTTCCTGCCTCCCTGTCCTCCTTCTATTTCTGTGTTCATCAGTGATCTGTCCTCCTGGGGACTCTTCATTATCTCTACTATGTTCACTGCAATGATCTGAGTGTCTGTCTTCCCCATACACTGGCAGCCTCCCCAGCACAGACTGTGAGATTTCTCCCTAGAGCTCTGTCTCCCCAGCCTGGGCCTGTACCTGCCAAGTGCCCAGCAACTGTCTGCAAAGTAAAATGATGGAAGGACCAGCAAACACAGGCTGTAGCAATGACTGCTACCTTCCCAGTTTCCATACTCCTCTCTTCCTCAGAGAAAGAACCCCATTTTATTAGCATAGTAAATATCCCAGCTATAATATGTCCCTCGGTGTGACCAACAGTTTAAGTCTTGGCCAGTGAGACATGGGTGGAAACCGCTGCTTTAAACTTCTGACAAGGCTCCTACAGGAAATGAACTCAGCTGAGAGGGAGCTCTTCCCCTTCTGGCTACGTGGAATGCAGACAGGATGGCTGGAGCTTCAGTAGCCAACTTTAGACCATGAGGCAGTCTTGAAGATGAAAGTTACATACTAGTATGATGAAGTAGAGACAGAAACCTGGGTCCCTGATGACTCTGGAGCTGCCACACTAGCTCTGTGTGAACAAGAAATAAATTCTCTATTGGTTAGGCCACTGTTATTTGGGTTTTGTTACCTGATCTTAACTGATATGAAGGCATAAGATAGATAAAAGGAGAAGAGACCCATATTCTTGTTCTATTATTTGTCTAGTCAGGAAGCCGCCTTGATTGGGGACATGCCTACCTTATCTCTACCTTTAATCCCATGTTGGGACAGTGAGTTCAGTTGTGGGCCTCTGATGTTCTAGCTCAATACCCCAGTAATCAGACCATCCAGTCATCTGGAGAAGCACTCATGAGGGCTATATAGAACCTCACAGGAGGGTCCTGGCAGAACACCCCGCCTAGTGGCAGGCTGTGGCCAGCTACATAGGACTGTGGGGGGCTGTGGAGGGCTATGAGCAGCTATGGTGGGCTGCGGGCAGCTGTAGAGAGCTAGGGTGGGCTGTGGGGGGCTGTGGCGGGCTGTGGGCGGCTATGACAGGCTATGGGGAGCTGTGGGCGGCTATGGCAGGCTGTGGCAGGACTTCCTCAAGAATGACCACTGCCATCTTAGGAATTTCCGTACTCTTCAGCTCTGCTCTCGAAGCCCTCTCACCTCATCCAGTGCCCTCATCAGGAAGGGAAGTTTGACCTCCTAATTTTAAACTGCCAGCCTCCCTTGACCCATGCTTTTTATAATCTCACACTTTTCTCTTAGTAAAACATCTGTAAGGATCTGCTATTTTAGGTCTGGGGGTCAGGAGATCTTGAGTTTACTCCTGCATGGTTAACCC